CCCTGCTGATGTCCGGCACAGCCACAGTCCCTGGCGCAGTTCGGGCGCCCCAAAATCGACGGAGAGCTGAAGGTCTCCAGCACCGAGAGGCGCTCCAAGGTGGACAGGTGAGACGGGGCGAGGGGCACCGTGGGGACATCCGTGGGGACATCCGTGGGGCCATGGGAACACCACAAGAACCTGGGGACACCCACAGGAAAGCTGCAGGGACATCCATGGGGACACCACAAGAACCTGGGGACACCCATGGGGATGTGGGAACACCACAAGAACCTGGGGACACCCATGGGAAAGCTGCAGGGAGATCCATGGGGACACCACAAGAACCTGGGGACACCCATGGGGATGTGGGAACACCACAAGAACTTGGGGGACACCCATGGGGACATGGGAATACCACAAGAACCTGGGGACACCCATGGGAAAGCTGCAGGGACATCCATGGGGACACCACAAGAACCTGGGGACGCCCATGGGAAAGCTGCAGGGACATCCATGGGGACACCACAAGAACCTGGGGATACCCATGGGAAAGCCACAGGGACACCCACGGGGACATGGGATCACCACAAGAACCTGGGGACACCCATGGGAAAGCTGCAGGGACATCCATGGGGACATGGGATCACCACAAGAACATGGGGACACCCATGGGAAAGCCACAGGGACACCCATGGGGACACGGGAACACCACAAGAACCTGGGGACAGCCATGGGGACATCACAAGGACACTGTGGGGACACTCACAGAGACATGGGAACACCACAGGAACATCATGGGAACATCATGTGGACATGAGGAAAAGAGAGATGTGAGGACGCCCTTGGGGACATGGAGATACCACAGGGACACCATGGGGACACAGGAAAACGGGGACCCCCATCAAGACACTCACAGGGACATAAGGATGGGAACACAGTGACACGGTGGGGCCACCCCTGTCACAGAGCAGAGGCCACACCAGGGCAGTGGTGGGGACATCCCAAGGCGCGTGGTGGCCTTGGGAACCCAATGTCACCCCCATCTCTGTCCCCAGGTATGGCTTCCTCCTGGACAAGGCCCTGATCATCTGCAAGCGCCGTGGGGACTCCTACGAGACCAAAGATGTCGTGGACCTGCAGAGCCACCAACTGCGAGACGGTGGCCTTGGCCCCCGCGATGGCAAGAAGGTATCCTGGGACCCAGGTGTCCTCTTCCCAATGAACCTAGGTGTCCACGTCCCTGGTGGTCCCAAGGATCCAGGTCTGGTGAGCCCAAGTGTCCCAGATCCTTGGTGGACCTATTAAACCCTGGTGGACTCACGTGTCCGCTTCTCAGTGGCCCCAGGTGTCCAGGTCCCTGGTGGTCCCAAGGATCCAGGTCTGGTAGACCTGAGCATCCTGGTCCCTGGTGGACACAAGCGTCCAGGTCTGGTGGACCTGAGCACCCCGGTCTCTGGTGGACACAAGTGTCCAGGTCTGGTCACCCCAGACCCCCAATCTCTGGTGGACACAAGTGTCCGGGTCTGGTGGACCTGTTCATCCAAGTCCTTGATGCACCCAAGTGTCCAGATCCTTAATGGACACACTGAAGCCTGGTGGCCCCAGGAATGTGGTCCCCAGTGACCCCAGATGTCTGGGTGGCAGTGAACCCAGGCGTGTGGGCGCTGCTGACCCCCAACCGTGCCCACAGTGGACCCACACCTTTCTGCTCATCGACACGGCCGGCCTTCAGGGCTATGAGCTCTTCTTCAAGACCCGTGAGCTGAAGAAGAAGTGGTTGGAGCAGTTCGAGATGGCCCTGTACGTGCCTCTGCACCCAGGGGTTGGGGGGACCTGCCCCACTGGGGGCTGTGTGACCCCGGGGGGGTGGGGCAATTTGACCCCACCGGACCCATTTCCCCCCCATCTCTTGCCAGCTCCAACATCTTCCCCGAGCACGCCCTGGCCGACGGCCATGAATTCCAGATGTTCTCCTTTGAGGACACCACGTCCTGCAAGGCCTGCCAGATGTTGCTGAGGTAGGACCCCAAAATCATGTCCCCCACTCTCCTGGGGGACAGGGTCAGCTGGTAGGGGGGGACTGGACGGGACTCTGGGAGCAGAGGAAGCCCCAGGTAGGTGATTGGAGGTGGGATGAGGTCTTGATGGGTCAAGCCCTTGGGTGAGTTGAGGCCAAGGTGGGTCAAGCCTTGGGTGGGTCAAGGTCTGAGCTGGTCAAGGATTGGATAGGTTGAGTCCTGGGTAAGCCAAGGCCAACGTGGGTCAAATCTGGAGTGGGCTGAGGCCTGGGTGGGTCAAGGAGCTGTTGGGTCAAGCCCTGAGTGGCCCCAAGGCCAAGGTGGGTCAAGCATTGGGTGGAGGACAACGTGGGTCAAGGACTGGGTGGAGGCCAAGGTGGGTCAAGGACTGGGTGGATGCCAAGGTGGGTCAAGCATTGGGTGAAGGCCAAGGTGGGTCAAGCATTGGGTGGAAGCCAAGGTGAGTCAAGACCAGGGTGGGTCAAGCGTTGGGTGGGTTGAGTCCTGGGTGGGCCACCACCAAGGTGGGTCAATCTATGGGTGGGTTAAAACCGAGGTGAGTTGATCCTGGTGGGGCCAAGGCCAACATGGGCCAAGAACCTGGTGGGTCAAGGACTGGGTTGGCCCAAGACCCACATGGGTGGAGGATCGGGTCAGTCCTGGGTGGGCTGAGGTGGGTGGGTGCAGGTGGGCCAACGGATGTCCCCTCATGCTGACCATGACCCTGTGTCCCCCCCCCATGTCCTGCTGTCCCCTCAGGGGCACGTTCTACCAGGGGTATCGCTGCAGCCGGTGCCGGGCCCCTGCGCACAAGGAATGTCTGGGGCGACTGGGGACCTGCGGCAAGGGCGGCGCTGGTGAGAGGCATCATGGGATAGTGGGGGAGCACGGGGCATCATGGGATGGCGGGGGAGTGGAGCATGGAGGGATGGGGAACGGAGCATCATGGCGTTGGGGAGCGGGGCACTGCAGGGTGGAGAGTGGGGCGTTGTTGGATACAAGATGGCCGACAAGGACAGGGGTGTTGTGGGACACAAGATGGCCAACATGGGCAAGGGCATTGTGGGATACAAGATGGTTGGCATGGAGCAGGGCATTGTGGGACACAAGATGGCCAACATGGGCAAGGGCATTGTGGGATACAAGATGGTTGACGTGGACAAAGCATTGTGGGACACAAGATGGACAACATGGGCAAGGGCGTTGTGGGATACAAGATGTCTGACATGGACAAGGGTGTTGTGGGACACAAGATGGCCGTCATGGCGCAGGGCATTGTGGGATACAAGATGGTTGACGTGGACAAAGCATTGTGGGACACCAGATGGCCGACATAGACAAGGGAGTTGTTGGATACAAGATGGTTGACGTGGACAAAGCATTGTGGGACACAAGATGGCCGACATAGACAAGGGCGTTGTGGGACACAAGATGGCCGACATGGCGCAGGGCATTGTGGGATAGGGGTGGCCCAGGTGGAGAAAGGCTTTAAAGGGCGGCCCACGCCCCGGGGTGGAGCCGGGCATTATGGGATACCCTACCCATGGCCTCCCGACCCCCTGGGGGGCCTAATTAGCCCCAAGTGTTAATCAGAGGTTAATCACACCCTCCGACTAACGACCGTTTCCTCTTCCGCCCCACAGATTCCGGCTCTGGCACGAGGAAGGTAACAGCGAAAGTGGTCAAAATGGGCTGAAAGACCCCAAATTTGGGAGCGGGGAGGTCCCGGTGGGGGGCGTCGTGTCCCCGTTGTCCCCCCAATTAATTAAGATCTCGTTACTCCTCAGAACAAATCGCAGAGGCCCGGCCCTGAGAAGAAGCGGGGAGACCTGGGTGAGGACAACGTGGGGGGGCTGGGATGTGTGGGGCCGGGTGGTTTTTGGGGGGTGTTTGGTGCCCCACAAGTGTGGGTTCACCTCTTCACCACCACCACAACCACCATTCCCCCTCCCGTGGGTCCTCCTTCCAGGGTTGCCCAAGATGGAGGCCCATCAGCCCTACAACGGGGTCCCACCGCCGCCGGGGGCCGTGGGTCCTGCCCTCCGCCTCGGCCCCGGGGACGTCGTGGAGGTGACAGTGGCGGAGGCTGAGCAGCTCTGGTGGCAGGTGGGGACGGGAACCTCCTGGTCATACTGGGATGGACCTCCACTACGGGGGCACACCATTACGGTGATGATGGGTGGACCTCCGCTATGGGGGCACACCAGCACGGTGATGATGGGATGGACCTCTGCTATGGGGCAGACCACTATGGCCATACTGGGATGGACCTCCGCTATGGAGGGACACCATTATGGTGATGCTGGGTGGACCTCCCCTATGGAGCTACACCAGTATGGCAATGATGGGTGGACCTCCACTATGGGGGCACACCAGTATGGTGATGTTGGGTGGACCTCCGCTATGGAGGGACACCATTATGGTGATGCTGGGTGGACCTCCCCTATGGAGCTACACCAGTATGGCAATGATGGGTGGACCTCCACTATGGGGGCACACCAGTATGGCCATACTGGGATGGACCTCCACTATAGGGGCACACCAGTATGGCGATGCTGGGATGGACTTCTATGGTGGAGGCCAACCACTATGGCCATACTGGGATGGACTTCCACTATGGAGAAAAACTGCTATGGGGCTGGACCCCCATGGCCATGGTGAACCCCTACAATGGAGATGGACCAGACCCTCATGGTGGGGCTGGACCCCCATGGCCAGGCTGGACCCCCACAACGGGGACTGACCCCCAACCATGGGGTTGGACCCCCATGGCCATGCCGAACCCCCACAGCGGGGGCAGACCCCCACAGCGGGGACAGAGCCCCATGGCGGAGGTGGACCTCCATGGCTATGCTGAACCCCTACAATGGAGATGGGTCAGACCCTCATGGTGGGGCTGGACCCCCATGGCCAGGCTGGACCCCCACAACGGGGACCGACCCCCAACTATGGGGCTGGACCCCCATGGCCATGCTGAACCCCCACAACGGGGACAGAACCCCACAGTGGGGACAGACCCCCATGGTAGAGGTGGACCTCCATGGCCATGCTGAACCCCTACAATGGAGATGAGTCAGACCCTCATGGTGGGGCTGGACCCCCATGGCCAGGCTGGACCCCCACAACGGGGACTGACCCCCATGGCCATGCTGAACCCCCACA